CGCTAACTGGGGGGATGGCGCTAACTGGGGGGATGACGCTAACTAACTGGGGGGATGACACTAACTGGGGGGATGACGCTAACTGGGGGGATGGCGCTAACTGGGGGGGATGGCGCTAACTGGGGGGATGACGGTGCAGAAGGAAAGTACAGGTTCCTTATCTGGTCACTGGTATGTGATGAGTTGTCTGGTTTTTGTACGTTCTCTCACGTTGTTCTCTCACGTGCAACAATAATAAATAATAATATATAACATTTATAGAGCAACGTGCTCTTGGGCAATGTCCTTGTGGGAGAGAGAAACTTCACAAACGTTGTGTCATGTCAGAGGATCTCCACCTTGACCGAGCTGAATGACCAGTAGTTGTGATAGGAGATGTCAAATATACTCCAGCTTAAATGACCGGTAGTTGTGGTAGGAGATGTCAGATAAACTCCAGCTTGAATGACTGGTAGTTGTGGTAGGAGATGTCAAATAAACTCCACCTTGAATAATTGGTTGTGGTAGGGTATGTGTATAATGTGTTTTTTTTAATATGTTTTTTTCATTATGATATATTGTCATCATGAAGTGGTGCAAGTGCTAATGTAATGTTCTAATCTGTGCTGGGCAGAATGTTGCCTTGATCATGTATCATTAACCACGTAGCCTATCATGCTGACTGTGTGTGCACTATACACATTCCTTTACGGTACGACTTCACACCAGTTTCTTTTTGCTGCTCACAAAGTGACAAAGTGCTGTTGTCTTTGGTCTTCAAAGCTGTATCGCTGATGGGGGTTTATAGTTGGGTTTTTTCTCTTTTGGTTGTATTTTGTAAGTGTTTTATGGCGCATATGAGCGCCCGGGACACACTAAACATTTTCAGTGGGTAGGAAACTTTGACGTTTGCCCGGGTGGCGGCCGAAGCCTACTCTTATCGATTTTAGACACCAAGGGATCTTTAACTTTAACGTGCGCAACTTGCACACGGGACCTCCGAGATTTTTTGCCCTTGTCTGAGAAGGCTAGGTGTAGATCTTTCGTACCAGAAGATCAGGGATGTGGCTGAAAGACAGCAGTAAGGAGCCAAGGAGAAGCAGTAGAAAGGCTTCCGAAAGAGTCAGGAGCCCAGAGGAGGGGGCAAAGGAGGTGAGGGGGTGGGGCAGAAAGTGGAGACGAAAGCAGACGACAGAACATTGTTAGAGAGCATGGCAGGAAGTGAAAGGAGACTGCTTTAGAGAGAAAAAAAAGTTTGTTTTCCGTCGCTTCCCGGATTCGAACTCGGGACCTTTTAATGAGAAGCGAAAACCTTAACCTCCAGGCCACATGAGCCC